GTTCAACACGAACCGTTTTCCTCCGCCGTTCGAACGTCTGGAATCATATGTTCCAAATGTTTCTTTAGCAGTTCGAACGCCTGGCGTCACCCGTTGGAAATTTTTCGCTAGCCGTTCGAATGGCTGGCATCATCCGTTCGAAATCTTTTGTTAGCCGTTCGAACGGCTAGCATCACCCGTTGGAAATTTTTCGTTCGCCGTTCGAACGGCTGGCATCACCCGTTTGAAATTTTTCATTCGCAGTTCGAACGGCTGGCGTCATCCGTTCGAAATTTTTCCTGTGGCGTTCGAACGGCAGGCATCATCCGTTCGAAATTTTTCCAGTGCCGTTCGAACGTTTACAGTAACCGTTCGAAGTTTTTCCGTGGCCGTTCGAACGGTATTTGGAACCGTTTTGAACGGCTGGAACATCCGTTTCTCATCCGTTCCTTAGCCTTTCGCCAGCCGTTCGTTTTGACCGTTTAACGGTTATCCGTTATTGACGTTTTCGCGTGAGAGGTCACATTTTCTCTCCTGAGTATTTGCTTAATGAGGCCTTCGAACTCTTCAATTCCAATTTGTCACGTAACTTGTTGTACGTTTCTTCGTTTAACACGGTTCTGTCGCACCAGTGTCTATCTCCAATTTGAGTGGTTAACCACAAAGTTCCACAGTCACTTCGAATGCATTGGGTTTGCTTTGTCCGCGAATGTGGTACATTATCGCTGCATAAACACCTTCTTCCCCGGAAACTTCGTCCACTAAATGTGTAGGCTGCTTCTTCTTCCCCTTTTCTGACTTGCTGTCTCGTGAACCGGTATGTTTACCTTCCCGCGTTCCGGAATCGGTTCCTTTGCCCGTCTTTTTCTTTTGCCTTTTCTCGCCACGACACACTTTGGCTAAGTGCCCTGGTCGTCCGCATTTAAAACACTGAGCATCTGTAAATCGAGAGGCTGAAGCTTCATGTTTCTCCCCACAACGGTAACACTCTTAATCATAACANTTCCCTGGCTTGCTGTCTCGTGAACCGGTATGTTTACCTTCCCGCGTTCCGGAATCGGTTCCTTTGCCCGTCTTTTTCTTTTGCCTTTTCTCGCCACGACACACTTTGGCTAAGTGCCCTCGTCGTCCGCATTTAAAACACTGAGCATCTCTGAATCGACAGGCTGAAGCTTCATGTTTCTCCCCACAATGGTAACACTCTGAATCTGGACGACAATCTTCAATTCCGTTCTTGTCTCGAGCGTCGACCTGATTAACGCTGCCGAGGGTCACGTCGGACTGAATATCAACCACGTACTTCGCTGCCAACTCCTCTCCCAAAGCAATCTCCTCGGCCTTCTTGAGTGTCAACTCTCGTTCCGCTAGTAATCGCCGCTGGATTCTCTTATTATTTATACCACAGACCAAACGATCTCGTAGCATTTCTG